TGGTGAACACATGCTCTTTGGCAAACTTGAGAGCAGCTCCAGTGTTTGTTTTACCACGACCATATGGCATGCTTCTGATGTAGCGCAGGATGTCAGTCTTATCATTGGAGGTGTTGAAGTTCACATCCGCTCGAGGGAAGTCACTATAGAGAACCACAGCTATTTTTATTTTTCCGTCACCTACATCGAGACCTCCGATGGTGTTCTTGAGAAAGTTGCGCACAAGTTGGAAGTTTTTGGATCTGATACTGCCGGACTGATCAACAATAAAAGCGATATCTGCCACCTCGTCAAACATGCACTCTGTCAAAAAGACATGAGAATTTAAGAAAACCAGTATTTTGAATTCTATATTGCATAATAGTTTTTCAAGTTTAAACTCTTAGCAAATCAAAAGTTTATGGGTTTTATGGAAAGATTAGAAGATTATGCATGCACTCACCCCTTGCGACAGCAGCATCTTCCCATGTGGCAATGGCAGATGTAATTTTCTGTTGCACTTGTGGGATGTTACCTACTAACTTGTAGCTGTGTGATTGACTAGAGATGTACTTCATCTCATCTACATCAGCTTTGTTCAAGCCAACAGCAAAAACTGTCACTGCATCTGTTTTGATTGTGCGGGATGCTTGGACGACACCATCGGCAGATTCTCCAGCTGAAACGACTAACAGAAATTGCTTAAAGCCTTCAGAGACACGGCTTCCAGAGACATTACTGAAGAAATTTTTATGAGCATATTCAATTGCATTGCCAATTCTACGCTCCCCTGTAGGCCTCAGTGTCAGGCTCTGAATATATGACAAAATCTCATTCTTGGTTTTATCAGTATTTAGCAGGAACTCCTCTTTGACATTTTCGCTGAACTGAGCCAGGCTGACACGATTAGTATTATTTCCCACGTTGAGCTGCTGGATCAGTCTTGAGAGGAATTTCTTTATTATTTGCTGCTCTTGTCTAGATGCTGAACTATCAACCAATATGAAGAAATCAGCAAATTTTGGCTCAAAAGCTGAAAAGAATGGAAATCAATTAATAGAATTATTTGCATTTAAGCAATAAATCAATAAACTGTGCCACACTAGAGCACCAACAACAGTAGATAGGAGTTCACTGTATAATGGGAGTGGGACTCAAAGCTAGTACATTTAAGAAATATTTTTGTTTTGCTTGTACTAATCTGAAGGTTTTCATATTCAACACTCCCATAGTATAGACACAAATAGGAAACCATACCAAATAAAATCTGTTACCTTTTGACTGAACCGTCACAGTAAAGCACACTTTGTTGCGTAGACTTTCTTTTAGACCTTGCAGTCCTTGATAACTGTCGATACTGAATAAGAACTCTTCATGTGGGGTATTAGCAATGGTACGCAGTTTTTCTATGTTGCCCCTTCCCACCCTGATGACAAAGATGGAAACTCCTAGGATTCTTAGTCTCTGGGAAGGTTCCTCCACATCATCATTTGATTCCCCATC